CAGCACGGGAGGTCCAGCGAACCAAGGGAAAGCCCTGCCCCGCGGCCCCTCCGCTCCTCTCCTGGACCCGCCCAGGCAGGGAGAAGGGGGGTGAGGGGGTAACGGGCGGAGCCCGCCCCATGCACGCACGCACACACTCGGGGATTTGTGCATGCCCCTCGTGCCCGCCCTGCACGCCCACCCTCCGCAGCCACTTCCCTTGAATCGCACGCCCACTGGGGGTGGGGGGTGGGCCTGGGCCTGGGAGGCCTTTTAAGCTCTCAGACGGCCGTTCTTACCGCCTGCCCCACCGCACTGCCCTCTGTCTCCCGGGGCTGTCCTCCCCGTCTCGGGAAGGGCCCACTGGGATTGAGGGGGGCTGGGTCTCCCAGGACACAGGGGCCTGAAGAGCCCCATGGGCTGCCTGCATCTTCCACCGCACCTCACCTGGAGCCCTCCAGGGGGTACGAGGGGAAACAGGCTGCCGCCAAAGCCATGGCCCTCCAAGGAGCCCAAGTCCCACCGCCCTTCCCCCACTTCATTCCAGCCTGTCCTACGCCACCTCCCCTCCTCTTTGGCACTGTGTGAGACAGTCCCCTGCTTGCCCACCCCTACCCCCAGGCCTACAAGTCCCTAGGCCCTGGCCAGACTGGGCTGAATTAGGTTGGGAGAGGTGCAGAATGGGTGACAATGACCTTGGCACAATGAACATTAGCCCAGCCAGCTTCTGTCCATCTCAACCCAGAGGTGGTACAGCTACCTTGAGAGACCCCAAGCTGAAGCAAGCCCCAGGGCCCACAGGCCTTGGGAGCAGTCCTGGGTGGACCCTTCACTGCAGCCCTTGTAGGTAGCTGGGCCCAGGCCTCTCAGTGACACACTTCACCTTGGACAGGTCTCTGTAAATTAGAAACTGGAAAAGTGGGCCCCAGTCAAGGCTCAGGGTCAGCAGCAGCCAGCTTCCAGTGGCCAGCACACCCTTAGCGCCCAGAGGAGGGAGGGCTCATTTCTAGCCGCCCCCCACCCCTCCCCAGCTGCCCAAACTTTTGCTTGCCCTGTTGGGCTCTGACCATGGTCTGTCAGATCCCGAGACTGGGGAGTCCTAGGGGATGCTGGCACATCATGGCAATTGCTGAGGAGGGGGCTGGGACGCCTTTCCATCCCAACCTTGAACCCCAGGAGATACAGTGCCCACACCTAATCTTGGGACATCCTGCCCCCCATCTGGTTGGAAGAGAGTAACCAGTTCTAGAGAGAGAGAGAGAGAGAGAATAAGAGATACTATTGAAGCATAGAAACAGTTCAACAGCCCAAAGATCTTTCTGCCCCTGGAGTGCTCACAGGAGGCTCCTGGGCTGAAGTGGTGAGGAGCCAGTTTCTTCAGCCCCTCCCACAGCTCCTTAATGGGAGGTGGCAGCTGTCCATTTGTCCAAAGTATTAATGCAACTGAAGCTGTGATATTTCCAACGACTGTAGAAGGAAAGATTAAGGGGAGAGAGGAAAACAAAACCAACCAACCCCTAAAATCATTTTCTTATTGTACATAATGACCTCATTCTCCTGTATATGCGGAAGATATAACCTTATATTTGGTAAGTGTTTCTTGTGCTATTTTATCACGTGACCTGTTTATAAAAATATATATTAAAAAGGTTGTAAAAACATGTGTCTGAGTTGTTTTTAGGTAATCAGGCTATGATGGGGCGCCTAAGTCTCTGGATTCTTGTGCACCTCTCAACTTATCAAACTTGTTGGTTCTTTCAACAAATACAGAGGCTGGGTGTCTTGATGCCAGGCAGAAAACCCAGTACTGACCAATAGAGAAGGTCCCTAAGCTCTCTTTGGTTCAAGGGGAAGAGAGAGGCACTAAAGTCATTACACCTAATATTCTCTCCAAAATATCTAGGATCTAGTCCATCCTTTCAGAAGGGCAAAAATGAGCCTTGTTTTATGGACAGGGTAAATGAGTTTAAGAGAGGGGCAGGCCCGGCTGGTATGGCTCAGTGGTAGAGCATTGACCTATGAACCAGGAAGCCACGGTTCCCGGTGAGGGCACATGCTCCAGTTGTGGGCTTGATTTCCCTGTGTGGGGTGTGCAGAAGGCAGCCGATCTATGATTCTCTCTCATCACTGATGTTTCTATATCTCCCTTCCTCTCTGAAATCAATAAAAGAGAGGGGCAGGATGTCCTAAAAGATCACACAATGCAGCAAGGACAGACCAGAACTCACACCCAGGAGAGAAAGGGAGGCTCATAGAGGGTCACTTAACAGGGTTGTGTGAACAGGCGCTCAGGCACTGGAGTCTGTGGAGACCAAGACAGACGTGATCCCGGCCTGGTGGAGCTCGCATTCGTATGCAACAGACAACCACCAGTAAACAGAGAAACGGGTTGTGATGAGTGGAGGTGACAGTGATTCGGAGAGAGGCCACGTCAGATAAGGTGGTCAGAGAAGGCCTCTGCGAACGGGACCGTAAGCTGAACACTCAAGAGTGGGCAGAAGGCGCGTTCTGGAGAGGAGAGCCCAGCACGGTGGCCAAGAGGCCGGAACGTGGCGGGCTGGAATAAAGAATGGAAGTCCCTGTGGATGGAGGTACGCCGGGAGAGAAAGAGGTCAGGGGTTTGGGCTTTATTCACCACGTGATGGGGAGCTATGGGGCGCCTTAGTCCGAAGAATGGTAGGTAGCTGCTCTGCGGAGTTCAGGTCATGGGGAACAGGGGCCTGGGAAGCCTTTAAGAAAACCTGCTCCTGGGGTTCCGGGGACATGAGGAAGGAGGTGGAGACGACTGGAGGAATTCGGGACTCGTTTAGGGATGATGCATGGACTTGACGGACCATAAGGGAACGATGAGCACTGATAACAAACACTGAGATAACAAAAAGAAAAGAAAAGAAAAAAGACAACCACTGAGGAGAAACCGGAGGATCCTGGACCGAACCTCCCGCCTCCACCAGCGCCTATTCCTAACCCGGAACTTTTGTGGTGTGGGAGCTCGTTTCCGGCGAGGAACTGACAAGTAAGGGAGCACTTCTGACGAGGGGCGGGAAAGAGACGGGCTATTTCCTGTGCGTCGCTTCCGGCCCAGCCGGGCAGCTTTACTAACTGGTTCGGGTACTCGCGGAGGAAGAGGCTCCATCAGTTCCTCTGGCTCTGTTCCCGCTGCCTTCGCCCCCCCACGCCACCGCAACCTCCGAGCCGCCGGCGTCTCCTGCCCCCCGTCCCGCCAGATCCTCCAGGCTCCTTAAACATCTCGGCTTGAAGTTCCTCTGGGTGCCCGGCGCCTCTGTCCCTCCACGGCCCCCTCTAGCCTTCTGCTCCGTCCCCCGGAGGCCCGGGAGCCGACTGTGTGGATGGTGGTAACGACCTCACTTTTCTGTTGGGATTTACTAAAGGTCCAGTGACTGCCGAGACCTGACTGCTGAGGGGATGGAAAGGTGGTCTGGGCAGGGACTGACCAGGTAGGGTCTTTCCCACAAGTCAGACATGGGACTGACCAGCTTCAGGGCAGCTATGGCACCTTCTGACCGCCCCGCCAGGGTGATGGAACTTGTCAATCAGACTGACTGACTGACTGATGGTGGACTGCTCTGAGCTGGCTCACAAAGACTGACTAGCCCAGTTCTAAGCAGTTTGGGGGGATCCAACTAGGGTGAAGTGTTTGAACTGACAGATCCCCTTCCTTTATGGTGACCCGGCCAGCCAACTTCACTGACCTCCTGTCCCCACTACCTGTACAGCCATGGAGAAGATGTCCCGGGTGACCACCGCCCTGAGTAGCAGTGCACTCACAGGCCATACTATGCATTGCCACCTGGACGCTCCAGCCAATGCCATCAGTGTGTGTCGTGATGCAGCCCAGGTGGTTGTGGCAGGCCGTAGCATCTTCAAGATCTATGCCATTGAGGAGGAGCAGTTTGTGGAGAAGCTGAACCTGCGTGTGGGTCGCAAGCCTTCGCTCAACCTGAGCTGTGCGGACGTCGTCTGGCACCAGATGGATGAGAACCTGCTGGCCACAGCAGCCACCAATGGTGTGGTAGTCACATGGAACCTGGGCCGTCCATCCCGCAACAAGCAGGACCAGCTGTTCACAGAGCATAAGCGCACGGTGAATAAAGTCTGCTTCCACCCCTCTGAGGCCCATGTACTGCTAAGTGGCTCCCAGGACGGCTTCATGAAGTGCTTCGACCTCCGCAGGAAGGACTCTGTTAGCACCTTCTCAGGTGAGGCCCTCGGAGGCGGGTTGGGCAGGTGTGCATCTTTGCAGGTGGCTGGACTATCGAGGCAGGTTAAGACGTGCTGCATGGAGCCCTGGCCTGGTGGCTCAGTTGGTTGGAGCGTCGTTCGTACACCAAAAAGTTGTGGTTCGATTCCGGTCAGAGCACGGACCTAGGTTGTGGGTTTGATTCCCCCACAGGGGCACATACAGGAGACAACTGATCGTGTATGTCTCTCTATAGTCAATAAAAACATCCTCAGGTGAGGATTTAAAAAAAAAAAAAAAAGGCCTTCCTGGGGGCGGGACCAGCTTCGCTGGGACTGAGAGGGTGGGGGGGTCAGCAGGGGAGGGACCAGGCAGGCCTAGTTGAAGTGTGAGGAGTAGCTGGAGCGCGGCTGCAGCTCTGATCCATCTGAAAGGACAGCTGGGTATTGGATGGAAGGGCAGAACCTGAGCAGACTTACAGCCATCCTCAGTGGTTGAGCAGATGGTTGTTTCACTGCTTCCTCTTCCCTTGCCTCAGAGCCCCAGGCTGCCTCATTGCAGGAAATCCACTGGGACTTTCAGGGTCCTCAGCCCAGGGATGCAGAGGCGGGGTGCACTGCCTGGTCCCACTATGGTTCTTTTCCTAGCAGGCCCAGCTCCCTGACAGTGGTCTTGAGACAGTTCTCCCTTGTCTATCTTGATGAAACCAAGTGAAGCACAGGGCAGAGTCCTTGGAGAATTGAGGGTGGGGTTCCCTTAAGACAGACCCTGAGCTACCTGTGCTGGGGTAAAGCTGCACACTGCGCTCAAAGGCTCTCGCTATGGCAGTTTATGGTGGTGGACACGGACCCTCAAAGCCTCCAATCCTCTGGATTTGACCCAGAACTTCAGCTCAAGGTGGAGGGACTGGGCAGAGGCTGAGGCAGCCTCATCTATGCCTCCTTGGGCCTCCTTCTGGGGCCTCAGAACTCATTGGGGGGCATGGACACGTGGTCCAGTGAGATTCCTGTTCACCCAGTGTTCTGCCACCCAGTCCTGAAGCTAGGCCACAGCTTTGTACAAGGACTGACATCAGAGAAGAGAATCCAGGGAAGAGCAAGGCCCAGGAGTTTATATCAGAAACCACCTGATGCCACCCTGGCCGATATGGATCAGTGGTTAGAGCATCGGCCTGTGCACTGAAGGGTCTTGGGTTCGATTCCTGGTCAAGGGCACACGCCTGCATTGCAGGTTCCATCTCCAGCCCCAGTTGGGGTATGTTCTTAAATCAATGGGGAAATGTCCTCTGGTGAGGATCAACCAAACAAAAGAAACCACCTGATGCCTGGTGTCTGCTCTCCAGCCCAGGCTGTTGTGTCTGTGCGGCCTCTCCTCTTCTTGTCTATTCTAGGCAGGACTCAAAGGGTCCACAGCCACTCCCAGGACTTCCCTCTTGGCCACTCTCTCTTCTGGAACCCCCTGTGGGCTTCACCCCCTCACCTTCTCCCTCCATTGATATCCTACCCATAGGCCAGTCTGAGAGTGTGCGGGACGTCCAGTTCAGCATCCGGGACTACTTCACTTTCGCCTCCACCTTTGAGAATGGCAATGTGCAGCTCTGGGACATTCGGCGGCCTGACCGTTGTGAGAGGATGTTCACAGCCCACAATGGGCCTGTCTTCTGCTGTGACTGGCACCCGGAGGACAGGTATAGGGCGGGCTGGGGCAAGGACATGGGTCGGGATGGGTGGCACTCATGGAAGGACTCTCTCTCACTGCCTCGAGTCCTGTGAGTCAGAGAGTGGGGAACCCTCCCACCCCAAGAGAAGAAACTGAGGGCTTCATGTGCCTTCCATAGGGGCTGGCTGGCCACAGGTGGGCGTGACAAGATGGTGAAGGTCTGGGACATGACCACCCAACGTGCCAAGGAGGTGCACTGCGTGCAAACCATTGCCTCAGTGGCCAGAGTTAAGTGGCGACCCGAGTGCCGCCACCACTTGGCTACATGCTCCATGATGGTGGACCACAACATCTACGTGTGGGATGTACGCAGGCCCTTTGTACCAGCAGCCATGTTTGAGGAGCACCGCGATGTCACAACAGGCATCGCCTGGCGCCATCCGCATGACCCCTCCTTCCTGCTCTCTGGCTCCAAGGACAGCACACTGTGCCAGCACCTGTTCCGTGATGCTAGCCAACCTGTAGAGCGTGCCAATCCTGAGGGCCTCTGCTATGGTCTCTTTGGGGACCTGGCCTTTGCCGCTAAGGAGAGCCTAGTGGCCGCTGAGTCAGGGCGCAAGCCCTATGCTGGTGATCGGCGCCACCCCATTTTCTTCAAGCGCAAGCTGGACCCTGCTGAGCCCTTCGCAGGTCTCGCCTCCAGTGCCCTCAGCGTCTTTGAGATGGAACCTGGCAGCGGCAGCATGAGCTGGTTTGTGGACACTGCTGAGCGTTATGCCCTAGCTGGCCGGCCACTGGCTGAGCTCTGTGACCACAATTCAAAAGTGGCTCGGGAGCTTGGCCGAAACCAGGTAGGTGGGGCTGAGGGGGACTGAGGGACCATGACCTTGGGGCAAGGTCAGGGGACTCCTTTTACTGCGGCACCCAGCCCCTGCCCTGAGTTCAATTCACCAACCCTCACCTGCCCCAGTAACTGAGGGTGCTCAGGGCCCCAGAGCAGAGCAAATACTAGTGCCATCCTGGGGGTATAATTTTGGGGCACCATGGGGCTTAAGCCCCCTATTCTGGCTCATTCTTGCTTCAGATTTCCTAAGGTGCCCGGCCTTGTAGAAGTCCACACTGCCTCTCTCATCATCTCCCTGGGGCATGAGGCTTATTTCCTCATCAGCCACCTCCCACATCTGCCTCTGTGCCCTGCAGGCTGGCGGCTGGGATTTTTGTCTTTCCCATGGGCCTCAGGGTCCCTACCTGAGGTGGGCCAGGACACTGGGTCCCTGGGCAGCTGAACGCAGAGAGTTTATAGTTCCATCCAGGCAAAGGGAGGGCCTGCATGGGGCACCAGGGACCCAGGACCCCATGAGTGACTAGTGCCCACTCCTAGGTGGCACAGACATGGACCATGCTACGGATCATCTACTGTAGCCCTGGCCTGGTGCCCGCTACCAATCTCAATCACAGTGTGGGCAAGGGCAGTTCCTGTGGCCTGCCACTCATGAACAGGTAGATCCCTGGCGGCGGCTCTCTCAGAGGGTGGGACTGCTGGAGCCTACCCACCTATCAGCCCTCCCTGCCCCCAGTTTCAACCTGAAGGATATGGCCCAAGGACTGGGCAGTGAGACCCGGCTGGACCGCAGCAAAGGTGACACACGGAGCGACACGGTGCTGCTTGACTCCTCAGCTACACTCATCACCAACGAGGGTAGGCTAGAGGGCGACACGGGGTATTGTTGGGAGTGGGGCTGGGCATCCCAAAGCAAGCCAGCTGTGTAAATCCCTCCCTCCCTCCCTCATGAGCAGATAACGAGGAGACCGAGGGTAGTGATGTGCCTGCCGACTACCTGCTGGGCGATGCAGAGGGCGAGGACGATGAGTTATACCTGCTGGATCCAGATCACGCCCACAGTGAGTGGGGGCTGGGAGGGGCACAGCTGGGAGTCAGGGCCAGAGGCTCAGACCTTGCCTTCCTGGCCCCTGCCCCACAGCTGAGGAGCCCGAGTACGTGCTGCCCCAGGAGGCCTTCCCACTGCGCCATGAGATTGTGGACACGCCCCCGGGGCCTGAGAACCTACAGGACAAGGCAGACTCACCCCATGTGAGCGGCAGCGAGGCAGATGTGGCCTCCCTGGCGCCCATGGACTCCTCCTTCTCGCTGGTCTCTGTTTCACACGCACTCTACGACAGCCGCCTGCCACCCGACTTCTTCAGCGCCCTGGTGTGCGACATGCTACGCTTCTATGCAGAGCAGGGCGACGTGCAGATGGCTGTATCCGTACTCATCGTGCTGGGTGAACGTGTGCGGAAGGACATAGATGAACAGACGCAGGTTGGTGAGCGGGCCGGAAGGAGGGCCTCCCTGCACACCTGTCTGGGCTTGTACCCAGCACGCTGGGGTGAAACCCGGGCCCACGACCCTGGTCTCTTGCTTCCCTCTGCCCCCCCCCTCCCCCCCAGGAGCACTGGTACGCGTCCTACATCGACCTGCTGCAGCGTTTCTGCCTCTGGAACGTGTCCAACCAGGTGGTCAAGCTCAGCACCAGCCGTGCTATCAGCTGCCTCAACCAGGCCTCCACCACTCTGCACGTCAACTGCAGCCACTGCAAGCGGCCCATGAGCAGCCGGGGCTGGGTCTGCGACCGGTGCCGCCGCTGCGCCAGCATGTGTGCCGTCTGCCATCACGTGGTCAAGGGCTTGTTCGTGTGGTGCCAGGGCTGCAGTCACGGGGGCCACCTGCAGCACATCATGAAGTGGCTGGAGGGCAGCTCCCACTGTCCTGCTGGCTGCGGCCACCTGTGCGAGTACTCCTGATCTGGGCCGGGGAGGGAGGAGCCTGGAGCTTGTGAACCAAATAAAGCAAACGGAACCACGGTCTGAGGCTGCCCTGTCCTCTCGTTGAGCAACTCTGTGGGGCGGGAGGGCAGTGCCCCTGGGAACTGGTAGAAGTCACTAGTAGTTCCGTCTTCCCGCTGCTTTCCGGAGACAACGCCCCTTCTGGGGCGGGCCAAAGGAGGCCGTTTCCGGGAGCCCTCCCAACGCCAGGCTGTTGCCACAACGACGAAGTTCCCAGCGTGCCTCGCGGCGGCGGGCTCATGGCGCGGCGGGGGCACAGTCTCTTGCTGCTAGTGCTCTGGACGCTGACGGCTCCGGCCCGGCCCGGCCCCGGAGAAGAGGGCGATGGAGGGTGGTGAGCGGGGCTGGCCGGTTGGGGAGGGGGCGCACAGCGGGGCGGCCCTGGTCGCTGACCGGCTGTGCCCACAGGCAGCGGCGCGGAGCCGCCCCGGCGGCGGTGGCGGAAGAGGAGCGCTGCACCGTGGAGCGCAGGGCGGACCTCAGCTACGCGGAGTTCGTTCAGCAGTACGTGCGCCTCCCCGGCCGCCCCGCCTCCCAGGCCCGAAAACCCGCCCAGGAGCGCTGTCACGCCCTTACTTGCCTGCGCGCACCAGGCCCCCTAGACTGCCTCTCCTTGACCTCCTTGAGCGAATGTGTGGGGACGGGAACAGGGACGGGTCGGGCCAGACTTTAACTCTGCTGTTCCTTCTAGCTACGCCTTCTCCAAACCTGTCATTCTGCAGGGACTCACAGACAACTCAGTGAGTACTGGTTCCTCTCCTGGCCGCCTCTCCCCTGTGCGGGGCGGGCCCTTAAATACTCTCTCCACCCCCAACCCCCAGAGGTTCCGGGCTCTGTGCTCCCGCAAAAGGCTGCTGGCATCATTTGGGGACAACGTGATTCGGCTGAGCACTGCCAACACCTACTCCTACCAGAAAGGTGAGCTGCCCCACCTCGCAGCCCAGCCTGCTTGACAGCATCCTGAAGGCAGCATCAACCAGTCCTGACCGCCCCCCCCCCACCCGCAGTGGACCTACTCTTCCAGGAGTATGTGGAGCAGCTGCACCCCCAGGACCCCACCTCCCTAGGCAATAGTGAGCACTTGGGCTGGAGGGCTGGAGACAATGGGCTGGGGAGGTGGCACTTGGAAGTGCCCAGGTGCCAGGATCCCTGCTTCCTCCTGTGTTCTTTGCTGACAGACACTCTGTACTTCTTTGGGGACAACAACTTCACTGAATGGGCATCACTCTTTCGGCATTACATCCCACCCCCATTCGGTCTGCTGGGTACCACTCCTGCTTACAGCTTTGGGATCGCAGGTGGGTGCCTTACAGGACCAGGGGATTTGGGGGATGGGGAGTGCAAATTGGGTTTGGTCACTAGCTGCTCGTAACTAACCCCACAGGAACTGGCTCTGGGGTGCCCTTCCACTGGCACGGGCCTGGGTTCTCAGAAGTCATCTACGGACGAAAGGTCAGCATAGGGTTATGACTGAGACCTCTGGCTCACTGACCACAATACAAAGAGTGACCTTGCCGCTCCCACCCCCAGCGCTGGTTCCTATATCCTCCTGAGAAGACCCCGGAGTTCCACCCCAATAAGACCACTCTGGCCTGGCTCCAGGACACCTACCCAGCCCTGACACCATCTGCACGGCCCTTGGAGTGCACCATCCAGGCTGGTGAGGTCAGTGGCTGGAGGGTGAGGGTGGTCAGGCTGGGCTGGACTGAGGCCCCCCTCCCCCCCGACCTCCACCCTCGCTAATCTCTGCCCTACCCAATCCAGGTTCTGTATTTCCCTGACCGATGGTGGCATGCCACACTCAACCTTGACACCAGTGTTTTCATCTCTACCTTCCTCAGCTAGCCAGAGCAGGCAGCTGACGAGCCCAGTCTCACACCAGCACACATCCCTATACTGCTCACAGGTTTTATTACAAGGATTAGTAGTGGCAGCAGCCTCAGCCAAAACCACCATAGCCTGCTGTTTCAGGCCAAGAAGGGAAATGGGGGGTAGGGAGTGGGAGGGCTCGTGGCCTACCAGCGGAACTGATAGAAGATGAGATGGGGACACCAGAGTAGGGATCCAGGGACACAAACTATATACAGGAGTGGAGGAGGGGTACTGCCCCAAGGCCCTCCGGGGCCAGGGTGCCAGGCAAGGTGAGAGGAGTTGCCCTCCCACTTGCTGTGCCTCAGTAGTCCTCCACCCAGCCATTCTCAGAGATGAATGCATCGATGACCTCTTTCATGGCCAGGTTGGGGATGAGCTGTTCCTGGGTCAGAGGGCTCCGGGTCACAGGGTCAAAGTGGCCCACACGCTGCAGTGACAACAGAGTCAGAAAAAGTGTTTGGTGGGCTGGGGCCCTGCCCCCAGCACCCATGGGCCCTCACCTGCAGGTGCTCCTCAATGTCCTTACGGTCATAGGTGATGCCACTGGGTGTGATGCACGGCTCCCGCATCAGCTCAAAGCTGATTTTGCCACACAGATAGTCAGGGATGTCTCGCTTCTGCATCACAAGGGTCAGGGATCAGGAAGGGGATGCTACTACAGATCCTGCTACCTACAGGCCCTAGAGAACAGCCAACTCACCTTTCTCTTCTCATCCACCTGGGAGAAGAGGTCATCCATGTCTGCTAAGTACTTGTCCTGCAAATAACCAAGCAGCCATGCATGGGCCAGACTTCCCGTCTCCCTTCCCCAGACACAGACACACACAGGAGCCAGGGCACCCTCACAGAATGTGCACACAAACACAAGACCCACACGTGGGCCGGGGCACCCTCACGTGCTTGGCCTCGATGCAGGCCTGCTGGGCCCGGACGTGGCCATCATCCTCATCACCCTCATGGTTCCGCTGACACTCTTCCAGCTCCCTGGGGGTTGACCAGGAGCTGGTCAGAGACCGATCTGGCCAGGAAGGGTCAGACTCCACCCCAACCTCAGGCTTGTTCAGGCCTGCTCCCCCTCTGTCTGCTGTTCACCAGGGTTAGCCTTCAATAAACACTTGTGTTCATGACTTAAAGTGGTGACTTGTTGGGGGCAGGGGAGGGGGGTTCCCAGAGTCTGTCCTCACAGCCCACCTCTCACGCTCGGCCACAATGAGTCTTGTGAGGTAGGAGTGCAGCTCATTCTCCTGGTGGATGCGCCGCTCCTCAATGCTATTCCAGCGCTTCTTCTTGGCGATGCGCAGAGCACTGGGGATGTCGTCCCCAAAGTTGAGTCGCTGCTCCTTAGCCAGGTTGTAGGCTGGGGGGACAGAGGCTTCAGGTCACCCTTTGGCCAGTCCACCCACCTGGTCCCAAGTACCCCCATAACGAGCCAGCCTGCAGACCCACCTCGCTGCAAGTTGGCAATCGCCTCATCATAGCTCTCCATCTCCAACTGGCATTGCCCCAGGAAAAAGTGTGCCTTCACGGACTGCCCATCCAGCTCCAAGGCGCGCCGGCAGTCAGCCAGGGCCTGCTCGTGCTGCTGCATCTTCAGGTAGCACAGTGCCCGGTTGGTGTAATACACCGCCACCAGGGGATTCCGGGTCTGGGGGACCAAGGCAGGCCAGTCAGCGTGAGGGAGTGAACTCAGCCTGCCCCCTCTGTCCCAGGCCTCGTCCTGCCTTGGGGTCCATGGTTGAAATCAAGACACTAGAGGTTTTACAGCTTCAAAGCCTTTGAGGCCTGAGGACGGGTGTAGGGTGGTGTCCGGGCCCTGGGGCCTGCGGGAGCCCTCTCAACTCCAGTAGGTTTTGTAAAGGTAAGTGTACCGGAACTGTGGAGGTCCCGGCTTTGGACGGGGTCCCTGGCCCTGCCGGCCTCAAGCGCCCTGAAGCTCCCACCCGACATAGGTCTCCGGCAGCCAGCACTGGGTTCAGCCTTGGCACCTTTGCAACGAGATCATCGAGTCCTCAGAGCCTACGTGCTCCTTCCCCGTCAGAACCACGGCCCTCCTAAGGTCCGAAAAGGGCGGCCGGGCAGCCCGGCCCCACCCCCTCCTCTGGCCGACGCCGGGGTCCCCTCCCCCGGCG